CATACGAAAGCCTGAAGGGTCGCCACCAAGCATTACAGTCCACTCTAGAGGAGATGAAGGAGGTTTGTGTATTCTTTATGTGTTATCAGCGCTGACTTGGCTCGCGCAGTCAGACAGTGATTTACAGGAAGGGTACGAGTAACTGCAGCAGGTCTGTCCATCGTTTCCTTCCGAATGACTGATTTGATATTCGATAAGACTTACGACGACCTAGAGACGAACAACGCCGAGCTCATGCGGGTTTGTCGTTGAATATAGAAATTACTTTGCGACGATGACGATCTATTTGGGCAAGGCGTTTTTCGATCTCAAGGACGCGGAGGCAAGAAACACGAAGGCCTAAAGGTAAAATTTCTGCAAGTTCATGACAAAAAGCGCTGAAAACATTTCTACCAGCAGCTCGACTGAGGTAAGTTGTACCCCTTAGTTACGTACCGTTCAATCAGCCCGGCCAATTGACACTCCAGGACAATGTATGCTTCGCTCCGTGAGCTATTTATCTGGACTCATGCTCTTACTGCCTCAGAACCGACACGAGCTGGAAAATCGTGTTCGGCAGTTAACCCAGCTAACGAAACTATCCAGGCCCAGATGCAGGTACAATTTTGAAATATCAACTTCGCAGCTTTGTGTAACTGTTTGCGGTCGCAGAATCCACCAATTCAGGTACTCTTTATCATGAACATTATATATTTCCACTCTTAAACTACTGTAGACCGCCGTCGCTCGCGCCTGGTGCGAGGATTTCATGGAGCGCTTCCCCTCGTTAATCCCGGGTCGCCATGTTCCCATTTCCTGGAGCCGATCTGCACAACGGATGTCAAGTTGCACGCACATTTAGCTTCCGTACGTTACCCTGCCCTCATTTTCTGACTGCAGTACTCACTGGGGCTGCCAGGACCCAGAACTCAAGGCTTGCGCATAGTAGCTCGTGAATGAAGTCCCACTAACGCTGTTGTAGATATGTGAATCACGCACTATATGTACCGAAGCGCGTGGTGTGGTCATCCCCGCACCGTACATGCACTAGCCTTCGGGCCCACGCATCATTACAGCTATTCAGCTGGTCTGTGGATCGCAGGATCAGAACTCTCTGGTCTCCGCGGCACCACCGGCAACCTTTTCATCGCGGACGACTCAATCCTCTACGTTGGTACCTACAACTGCCACAATCTTGAACATCTACACCCAGGCGGGACTGTGGCCCCGGAAGTCGTCGTATGTCAGATCTCCTGCATTTAGGAAATTGTCTCACTGCGCTCTCTTCCTCCGGGGAAGTCTCCTCTGGAAGTGATGTACACTCCGCACCTTGGCGCCATGAAACCAGTCGACACCGCCGTGGTGATCAAGCATTTCTATCCGGGCGGCAGCATCCTCGTCGGATGCGTGGGACTGCAGTGCATAGGGTTTGACCGTTCGCTGTACAACGCACTGCGACGTCGTAGACTGAATGGCGGCGGGACCAAACGCAAAGCGGACCCAGATGGACCGTACAATGTATGATCTAGAGAGGCGGGATATAATCTAAATCCTTGGCAAAATTTCTTAATGTACTGTATATAACGGCACTGCAACGGCGGTTCAAATTCTGGACGCGCCGCAATGGCTGAAATCACCTGGACTTGAACTAATACTAATGCTGCATCAGATTTCATTTTGCATGGATCGGGACCATCCCCTACACGGCACACCTTCAGCCGGAAATTTTTACACCACCATGGGACCATCGTAGTTCAATTTCTGGCGTGCCCACTCTTCGAAAACGGCCGATATAAGTCAAAGAGAAGGTGACAGGGTGACATCATTGTGACATCCTCTTTTCTGGACAACCACCATCTCAAGTGTCAGGACGCGTTCGCCAGAGATGGACGCCATCATTCAGAATCCAGAGCTCGCTCTCACATCACTTTCTGATTCCTTCAAAGAATCGCGCGTGCGAATCGCGGAGCTCGAGAAAGAAGTAGATCGGCTGGTAAACTGGTTCTGCCTTCACTGAATGGCAGTTGAATCTTGAACCCCTAGTCTCGAGTTGAGACAGACATGATTAGTAGTGTAGAGGTGGCGAAGCGCACCATCCAGACCCTCGAGCAAGAAAAAGGGCTTCTGCGTCAAGAACTGGTCGCGCATCAAGACACCTCCAAGTCGAAGGTGAAGGAGGAGGAGCCAGAAGTGGTAGACGAATCTTTCAGCAGCGCTTCATCTACTTACTTGGCCACTTCTTCAGAAGCTGCAGCTGGAAGATACTGCCGCTCAGAGCGGCCCGGACGCATCCCTTAATGCCGAACAGGTACGCGTTATCTCTCTCTTATACCTCATGCGATAATTTATTCCAAGGAATGCCGACGTCTGGAGGCAATGGTAAAAGACCTCGAGCAGGAGAACGTCGAGTTGAAGGCAGTACGTCCCGTCCATGTCCGCGCTTACTTTGAGCTGACTGTGGTACTTCGCCAGAGATCGGAGTCCCACCAGAAGGAAGCGACTGAGCTTGCGGCCGTGCGTATAGGTTTTTCGTTCAACTTTGTGTTTGTCTTGAGCTGCGCCAGGCGCTCGAACTGGCCAAGGCAGAGGCTTTAAAATCTGATTCTGTGAGAACACCCTGTGTCGTCTCACCTCTCATCCTCACCAACTCCCAAGGCCTTGACCAATCTGCGACAAAAATACGAGAATGCGAAGACGGGAAAGCAGGAACTTCAAATGGTAAGTCCTCGTCAATCAACATCATTCAAAGTAATTCACGATGTGATTAGACATACGACCAGCTTACACTCGATGTTACTTCGCTCAGGGAGGAAGTAGAGAGCCTGAATGCGGACGTGTTGGGTGCCACGAGCGCGGTGAGTGATTCCAGGATATTGATTTTTGTGATCTGACCTGGCGTTTTCGCGTCGTAGAGTGCAAAAGCTACCGCTGTGCGTTGGATCGATCTTGAATATAGTTAGTCAACGCTAACTTTCACAGACGCTCGCGAAAACGAAGGAGCGGCTGCTTAAGCACAAGACCGTGCGGGCCGATTTACAGAATGTTCGTTATCTTATTGTAAGTACTTTCGAAGGCATTCATCTCAGCTCCTTTTCAGGAATACGACGAACTGTCGGCACAAAAGGATGATCTTGAACAGAGGCTGGCTGAGGCTGAGCTTCAAGTCAACGAAGTGATGAGTGCCGCTGCAACAGTAAGTTTCTAAATGCCTTGATAGCAATTTACTAACGATATCCCCAAGCACAACGACGCCGTGAGTGACTCGTGATTCATCTCCACGTCCCTGCCAAACATATTGGGCCAGATCGTGGACCTGCGTGCAAAGTACAAGCAGGTGACGAAGGAGAAGGTGGCGTTGCAGGAGGCGAGTATTCTAACATCTACGAGTGCGTTGACACTGATGTATTATTCTCTAGACCTGCGAGCAGTTGACGGAATCAGTGGAAGAGTTACAAACGGCGGCTGCCTCAACCGGTTCTGTTGAAGTAGGTGGTCTGCACCTGCACTCAAAGCACACTGATTTACTATTCCCAATTTCTCTTATAGGACGAGCTGACCGAGGTGAGCTCGCTTGGATCCTTTTTGTAGGCGCTCGATCTAATCATACTCCAGGCGCTTGGCAAATTGAGAAGCAGGTATGAGAAGGTCAAGACAGAAAGGAAGCAGCTGCGTGAGGTGAGTTTGCCCACTCCGTCGTCAAGTTTATTAATTAACACCGGCGCAGAAATGCTCGGCGATGGAGGCACAGATGGAGGAACTCGAGCGACAAAGCTCGGCCCTGAAGGCGAACTCTGGGCAGTCCACGGAAGTTTGGTCCCGCCCCGTGCTTTCGGTAGAAGATAAACAGGAGGTACGATCGTATCGAGTATGTGCAGTATTATTATTTTTTCACCTAAAGCTAGATCGAGGCAGCGCAAAGGTTGTATCGAGAATACATGCAGAAACTGCCATCATCGCCTGCCCGCCCACCCTTCGAGAAATTGGAGCCCGTTTGTTATAAATCGAAAAACCTGCATTCATATCTTGCTGAAGTGAGTCGGTACCCTATACGGACGTCGAAATGAATGTTGAACCAATATCTTCTAGGATCCAAACATGAAGAGGTCAGTATTCGTGCCGATCCATGAAAACAGGAGTAACTTTATACGGTACTGGCAGCTTTTTCAATCATGTGCTGTACCTTCCAAAGCGATCCGTTTGGGTGAACCTTGAAGATGGCTCTTTTCATTATCTGGCGTTTGGGCCCAGCCATCGATACGATCAGTTTCGGAAATCGTGGACAGAGGGCTCGGACCTCGAAAGTCTTCATGGTGGCACTCGGGAAGTTTTCGTGGATTTCAATGATTGTATAGTGTACGTCGGCACTTACAAGTGCCACGATCTGCGTCACCTATATGCGAAGGGCATACCGATACCTGCACGGACTGTGAGCCGTGGTCGCTTTTTCAACTCTTACCTTCTGATCCGCGAATCAGTCTCACAGAGAAATACTAGACGCGACCGTCGGGGTTCCCACTCCCCCAGGATCGATGCAACTCATCAAACAGATGTTCCCGGATGGAATCATCAAGGTGGTGGCCACCGGACTATAATCCGTCGGGTTCAACGAATACCTTTATGATTCTTTGCGTCGGAGGTTCGCAGAGAAGCGTGCCGCGGAGGAGCGTCCCAAGGAGGACGCTAAGCGCAAGGGGGACGGTTCCGGAGAAGTGCCGCAACGCAAGAAACCGAGAACATCCGTATAAATATCTTTCGGCGTGTGTTTCGATGCGTCTATATTTTCGTAGTACATTAAAAATACAATAAGTACCTTCATCGATCACGAACTATAATTTGTGGCCAGGCAAGGCAGCATTATACATCGAACATTAAGGAGCTGCTTAGGTCAATGCACTTCTCCATATGTACCGATTTCTTTTTGGAATTTTGTGTAGAGTCTAAACTGGTTGAAGGAATAAATTCACGGAAAACATCAACCACGTGTCATTTAGAACCTTTTCTATTCCCATGTTGCTAACGGTGACCTGTTAGCACAGTTGGTAATGCGCCCGCTAAAATTTGCCCAGGGCGAAAATGAGCTTCTGCGAGAGTCCCCAGTTCAACTCTGGGACAGGTCATTTCCATTTCTTCCACTTGGATTTTTTTTTTTTCGTCTCCCATTCGATCGTCCATGCACTATTAATGTCGCAAAAATCCGATTTGCCATATAGCCCAAGATAGCCCCATTCTGAACCTTATAGGCCAAGCCGGTAAGATTACAGGGCTTATAAATGAAAATAGATACTTATAAGGTACTTATAACCCCTGTAATCTTGCCGGCTTGGCCTATAAGGTTCAGAATGGGGCTATCTTGGGCTATATGGCAAATCGGATTTTTGCGACATTTACTACTGGGAAATCCCCGCACCTATTGTGGCAGACCGAATTGCCAGAGACTGAGTCGGGATCCTATAAATATTTTGTTGTCCCCGCCATTCAATCATTCAATTTCATTATATAGTTCCACCGTCAAGAAGACAGACCTGGAAGTATTCCCGTTCTCCGTTCGGCTTATTAGAAAGTTGTGCGGGAGGACTCACCTAAAGTTGACTCTAGGCCTTCGGCCTAATTAATTGGTCGATCATTTCATAGGACCGCCCTCCGGGCACACCTGGTTCCTCCGAGCTGCTGTTGTATTGATAGATGCCTTTTTAATTTTTTTCTTCGGTCTCTACACATCATTTGACCTCCGAGAGGTGAATCATAAGTGGTGCACAGCCACAAACCCCTTCTGAAATATTGCACTATAAGTTGAACTTTTGATCTAATAAATATCTGTCAGCCTCCGGGAGACTAAGAATGCCATTGATCACGATTGCAATCCAAGTTGAAGTACCAACTAAGTAGGCAATTAATTCTAGAATCAGATTCAAAGCTAAGTGCGAAAAAGCCCAGTTCCATCTCCCTCCAGCATTATTAAACAAGTACGATCAAGCAGAACTTGATTCTCGCGAAGCGATGTCGCACAGGGACCCTGTGCGACACGCATGTGTGTACCAAAATCGACCTCCCACACATCGTGTGAGTGTCACATTCCCTCCTCTCAATATCTCCTACGGAAGATTCTCCAAATTCTTCCCCCCAGCCGAAAAAAAAAGGAGGAGAAGAGAAGAAGAAGAAAGAAAGAAAGAAAGAAAGAAAAGAATGTCGCTGATCGTGACGGGGCCTGAGTCCAACGAGCGCTTCCAAGATGAGTGCTACCCCACCTTCCTGCCTGTTAGTTGCTCGTGCTTTTATACAGCAGTTTCTGAGCCTTCATGTAGGAATTTTACATGATTCAACCACCGATTAATCAGTATTCTCACCATCAAATTCCGAGAACCCAAAAGCCATCTCATCCTGTGGATGACACATTCCTTCCTCTCAAATATCTCCTCCTGCTGATTCTCCGAGTTCAAGGAGAAAAAGGAAATGAAGGCTGATATCAAATTCATCTTCACGCCAACGCGGAGACGGGCGAGAAATGCAAGTTGAGACAATATTAGATTATGTATAAAATGCCAAATACATCCGGATGTATACAATTAATTAATTAAATTATACAAAGAGAGTGAGCGAGAGTGTGCGTGCGTATGGGTAGCAAACGATCTAAGCGTTCGCGTCATGTAAATTTGGTCAGTGGTTTCCGATTGTAAATTAGCAGTGGGCGGGCACAGATGCGTCGTCTTTGTGAGTTTTCGCCTTGACGCCGACGCCACGGCTCACGAACGCCGTCCAGAGGAGGCATTTGTTCGCCCCGCCATAGCGGTTGTGATCCGCCTGGATAATTGCGTCGCGCGCCGTCAGGCTGAGAATAAGGCGGTCATTAGTGCCGCTGGAAAAGATCGGCTAAAAGGACGACGACGTACAAAGTGGGTTCGCAGGGCTGCAGCGGGAGCGCGTCGATAATGAGGTGCAGGTAGACGACATTTCCATGACGGTCCTCGGGTGCGTGAACGCGCGCGCGGACCACCCGTGCGCATTCACGAGCGCGGCGTACACGTTGTGCAGTATGTTGGCCCACACTTCGCCGATGGCTGTGACGCAAAAAATGATTAGATTTAAGTTTATAGAGGGTGAAATAATGGAACGCACCCTGCACCACGTCGAGAATACGGACAACCGTGTATGTCACCGGATTGACTTCCTGCATCCGGTGAACCAAGATGAAAATACAACAACGCACGGACACGGCGGATGCAAAAACGCACTTCGAGGTCGAGTACGGAAAGCTGCGGATGCCCGCGGGGTTGTTGACGAGGTAAGCACCTGTCGTGAAGTCAACGACCTTTGCGGACTTTTGCTCTGTCCAGCTGCTATAGTGTCGGTAGTCAGTTTGTTTTCAGATGCGAGGGGAGGAGAGGAAGAGTGGGAAGTGAATTGTACAGCGCACTTACTCAGCGAGCGCGTCGGACTACCGCTCGCCGATGCCGTCCGCCTCGAGAGACTGCAGGCACTCGGCAGTGCCGCTGCCCGTCAGGCGGTTCGTGATACCGTGCATGATCTCGTGTACAACTACGTCTTTCTCGAACGCGCCGTCGCGTCGCGGCTGTGCACGGGAAAATGGTGGTTAAAATTCAATGAGCAAGAAGGGGAATGCGTACCTTGGTTGAATTCCAGAGGAACATAACGATGAAAGTGGAAATAATGGACTGGAAGGAAAACAATAGCGAGGAAGAAAGATACGGAAAAGATGACTTTAATAAAGATGGAAGCAGAGAAGGACATACCGATAGGCAATGTCATGCACAATAGTGATGATATAAAAATTGTTCACGATCGCCGCAGCGACGTTGGCCGGCACAATAGGCTTCTTGGACGCGTCCTGGGGCGGACTGCCGGGCGACGCCGAGCTTAGGGCCGCCCTTGTAGGACACTGCGTTGTTGCCGCTGCGGGGCGACGGTCAGACATCATATGGATCATGGTTGGATGAAAGGGGGGAGGGAAGGACTGCATACGATGTGGTTGTGGAGTCGCCGAAGGGCGTGGAGTGCCATCCGCGCGGGGAGGCGGCAGGGTCGCTGGGATCACGGAGTGTCTCGAAGCCGTCCGGAACTGACTGCTTCTTAATGGGTATCACGCGATACTGCGGTTGCAGGCGAGTCATACCCACCTTCGTCACTTCGTTACTTTCGCTTAGAAATGAGAAAGTTCGTGACTTTGATGGGAATGTGTGAAAGCTCGTCACTTCGACTAATAAGCCTTCACAATGTATTTTCCTTCATTTGCGTGAAGAGGACCAACCAGGACCAACCATTCAATGCCCCTCCCTTCCCTCGCTGCGCTCGGGGGTCCCCCGAACCGGGGCACTTCAGGTTAGTACACTAATTCTATCCCTAAACCCTAACACTCTAACCCGAACCTCTAACCCGAACCCCGAACCCCTAACCTCTAACCTGAACTCTAACCGGTGGATACCCGCAGTTAGGTGCGCTTGCCTTAACTGCTCGAAATGGGTTGCATGTGAATACAGAATGTTGGCATCAAAATGAGAATGTTCGTAACTATCTAGCTGAACTCACGAGCTTTCACAGAATCCGATCAAACTCACAAAGTTTCGCAACGCTAAGTGAAGTACCGAAGTGACGAAGATGGCGCGGACTCGTTGCAGGCATCAGCACAATGGGGGGAAAAGAATCAAGAGGCAGCGGTGCTACGCACGGAAGCCTTGGAGACATAATCGACGACCGAGAGCAGCTTGCCGTCGTGTGCATCGATGAGCGCCTCGTACCAGGTCCCCGCAGCCTCATCCCGTACTTGGAATGCGTGCACGTGTCGGAAAATCCCAATTTGCCTTATAGTGCCTGACGGACGTATCAGGACCTATCAGGTTCGGTGAGGGACCTATCAGGCTGTACCAGGCTGGATATGGCCTGCTCAGGCCGTCCTCAGAATGCTCCTGTTTACACAAATAAATATTATATTAACTGTTGCAGCGTAAAAACATGTCCGCGTCCATAGTATCTACCACAACATGAGCGAGAAAGGGAAAAAAAGAGTGGAAGAGACGTCTCGCCACTGGACTGGCTCCGAAAGAGACACTGAGAGCCCAATGTAACTGGAAACCAATGTCTGTACTAGGTTGCAGACAAGCTTCCTTCGTTGTGGGATGTTGGTGGAAGAGAAAGTGCGGCATCGAGCGAGTGAATGGCGGCAATGGCGACGGCTCCATGCCACGTTCGGCGGGTGTGGCAAGTACTTGATGTTTAACAGTGGTGGGGGGGGAGGAGAGGAAGGCTGACCAGCGGTGTGTGGTTGGGTGCGGAGTTCGAATATGCCGAAGACCTGCCGCGATCAAATCACCCTATTTGGGCTGATCTGCGGCGGAATTTCAACCGTGATGTGTAACTGTTGCTTTGAAATGCAAACAGAATTTCATTGTTAATGTGCGACGGTAGGAGCTACATGTAGTATCTGGATACCAGAGGTGATATTCGGTCATCAGGGGGTATCAGACGATGTAAGGCATCTGAGGATGGGTATGTAATGAACCACATTTTGTACATGTTAACTTTCCTTTAGCCTAGTGGTTATGTTGACGCCCCAGCTTTTTAAATCTCAACCTTAGGTCACCCGTTCGAATCCCGGTGAGTTCACAATTCTAATTCAATTGACTAACTTCATTAGATTTCTGGGAAGTGGAAGGACCGAATGTTAGTGACTGCTAGAAATCCTAGTAGTCACTACTGGTTTTTCTATTTTCTGGGCTAGTCCTTATAATGTGCGATATGGGGTGGTCAGACCAATCAGGCCCTGTCAGGGTTATCAGGCTGATAGACAGTTATTGGTCACTTTCGAACCTTATGTCCACCCCAGTGGCCTGACGGGCTGATCAGGCAATATTTGGCCATATATTGCCTGGTCACCTAATTTTGGATTTTCCGACACGAGGGCTGCGGAGCTATCCCTTCAGCGAAGTACTTGAGTTCTGCGGTAGGCAATCCGTCGTGAGACCCGCCAAGGTGCTCCTCAGCAGTTGCGCGGGCATCATCGAATAATATAGAAGGAGTGGAGGATGCAATGGACGCTGAGCAAATTTGAGCCATGCGAACATTAATTTGAATGTGAGCGGCAGAAGCGCTTACCGGGATTCACTGC